AGAAAAGGAAAAGAAAATAGGAAAAAATGGAAAGGAAGAAGGGTGAAATATAGAATAATTCGGTGAAGAAAGTGAAATATAGAAGAATTCGGATGAGATTGACAGTGGTGAGCAGAGAGAAGAGAGAAGAAACAGAAGATCAGGGAAGAAATTGAAGACGAATCAGATCTTATTGTCGACGCTCTTTAGCGGCGACGCCTTTAGCGGCGACATATCGGAGGGAAAACAATTCGGGGTTTCCTACGTCGTTGGATCATCGCTTAAATCGACGGATGGGGTTGAAATGACGCGGATCGCCAGAACAGGCAATAGCGGCGACAGATAGCCTTTAGCGGCGACAAACCGGAGGGAAAACCACGTGGGGTTTTCTACGTCCTCCTAGTCGTTGGATCATTGCCTAAATCGACAGTTAGGGGTGAAATGACGCGGATCGCCAACATAAGCCTTTAGCGGTGACGAACACTTTTAGCGGCGACAAAAACGTGTTTGTTTGATGTCGCCGCTAAAAGTGTCCGTCGCTGCTAAAAGTGTCGCCGCTATTGCCTATTATTCTTGTGAGTAGTGTTTTTTAAGATTTAAAATTGAATACTCGAATTTTTTCAAGTTCATTGACAAGATTCCTGTAATTATTTAAAGACCTCTCAGTGTTGGAATATCGCTAGCGAAAAGAAAGAGTAATAAGTGAGTAAAGATAAAGCGGAGAGCACGCAATGCATGCATGCAAGTACTATGGAATATATCAAACGGATCTTGGTGTTATGAAATGATAAGTGATGTCCCTCAATTCCTTTATACTTTTAGTTGTTCTCTATCTTGGTGTGTTAGGTATAATATTAGTGCTGATTAGCGATTAGTTTCCAGGATTAGTTAAATATAGAGTGGTGTGCACGGGCTAAACTTTGTACTCTGTCTCCAATTCCCTGCTAGCTTTATTCTTTTCAATAAATGCTGCCATTAAAAAAATAAACAAATCGTATATATTAGTAATGCCCCTAATCTGTGTGGGAATATGTTTCGCTAAAAGAAAGTAAAAGGACAAAAGATAAAGCCGATAGTAGTTGATGCACGCATCGAATATAATAATTAGCCCTATATGCACTATATATAAACCATGAAGAAGCTCATCAACATGCAATTAACCCACACATATCTCTTCTCCATGCGAATGGCATTCCCATCAAACCCATCATCTTCTTCTTCTTCTTCTTCTGACGCCTCCTCATTATACCTAGATCCATTTCATGCAAATGTTTCTAACTTCGTTTCTGTGAAGCTTTCCAGTGAACGAAACTACCATCTATGGGAGAAGCAGATGGGGTGCCTCCTGAAGACTTACAATCTGCATGGGATTGTATGTGAACCAATTACCCAGACCTCATTACCCGATTTGACGGACTTGTCAAGGGTTGGATTTTTGGTTCGATTAGTGAAGAGCTACTTGACAATGTTGTCGAACTTGATTCAGCTAAAGCAGTTTGGGACCAACTAAAATATATCTACTGTCCAACTATAATGACTCCTCAAAAAGGATTCGCTTGTTATTTGAAACTCAATATTGCAACATTCTAACAATCAACATATGCACTTATAAGTTTGGTACTCATGATAGCCTGTTTCACATGCGTAGACTATTAAAATTACAATTTCCACATCATGAACAATTCGATGCATGTCGCATATATGCTTTTAATCACACTTGCATCATTGTTTATAAACAGACTATTACATAAAGCTTCTAGAACTTCGAGAGTGAGTAAAACAATTGCATAATATGCATAAGTTGGATTGTGTAGTAATGCATGTAATGCACGTATTTTACTTGATTTGTTAGTCCGTAGGCATAGTACTTCCTATAAGTTTTCTTTGTGAGTTTAAACCAAACTTGACTTTAACACCACAATGAATGCCTCTTTTGTCCAAATAAATAGTGATGGTAACATCTTCTTTTCATATAGTGAACACAATAAATAGCTACCGTAGCTTTGGTGGCGGTTTAGGTGTAAATAGAGGCTCCAACATCACTTCTAAATTCACTGGCGGACCTATGGGGTAGCACATGCTACCCCTCAAAATTTCACAAGTAATATAAAGTTTTGAAAAACAAAAATTGCAAGTAAAACTGTATAACTGTAGGGTACCCTTTTGTTTCTTCTTTCTTTTGAGTTGGGAATCAATATGATAAACCAACATACAAATAGTATAAAAGGTGTCTCACTTTTAAACATACATATGGCTCTTTATCTTCGGTGTAAAGATGATAACTGGTAGTAACTATTAAATTATATTCTTTAAATCATTATCCCTATTTAATTATTTTTGTTTTTTATCGTTTTATTTGCACCCTCAAAACTTTTTAACCAATATTAATTGTTTTTACTTTAGTATTTTTTTAATGGTATATTTTTAATATGTAAGCCATGCATTGTATTTTAATAAATTGATATCTATTTAGACCATAACACTAAGAAGAAAATAAATAGTTTGAGCTTGTAGTATTATCAATTATCTTTTAATAAAGTAAAATGATAATATATAATTTAAATTTGAGGACTATCAAATAAGTATGAATTTGTTATTTCTTAAAGTTAAAATAGAAAGTAAGTTAGATTTAACAGTGTATTTTTTATCTAAAAAATAAACAATATTTATATTCACAATATTTTACCCACATAAATATCGTTATTCATTCATTCACAACATAGTAATATAACATCCAAAACCGAAGTGTTTTCGGTTTTACTCATGAGTTTAAGAGGTTCATTTTTAGGTCTTATGTCAAAAAAAATATATGTTAACCCGTAAACTTTTTTTTTTCTTGACCGCTGGTTGTAATCTAACACAAATTGTGAGTGTTAGATAAATGCTTAGGTCATCCATAATGTGAGTTGTATGATAGTTTAATGGAATAAATGTGAATCTATATCTATATCTATCTATCTATCTATATCTATATCTATATCTATATCTATATCTATATCTATATCTATATCTGTCTATCTATATGTATATCTATATCTATATCTATATCTATATCTATCTATATCTATATCTATATCTATATCTATATCTTTATATTTTATAAAGCTAGCATTTTTCCTTGAACCTCATGCATTTGAAACTCCCATGCATTTTTCCTTTCACCACATTCATTTGAAACTTTCATGAGTTTTCAATTTCTTTCTAATAATAATTATAAGTTGGTTAATAAGGTTAAATAAATATCAAACCTAAAGTGTAATTATATATAAACTAAATTCTAATATTAAAATAATATATTTACTTCTACTTATAAAGTTATGTTTTTAACCTTTAACATATTATACTTAATTTATTAGTTTTAATATATTGTTGGATATAAACGATTATCATTTTAAAGATACAATTTTGGAACAATTTGTATAAAATAGTTAAATTATTAATTTAAATATAACATTACAGGGTCAACTTAAATATAAATTTTAGTTTAACTTAAACAACCCAAAAAATATGTTGTAAATAGTTAAAAGTGATAAATTGTAATGTATTTCTAATAATGATTATAAGTTGGTTAATAAGGTTAAATAATATCAAACCTAAAGTATAATCATAGATAAACTAAATTTCAATTTTAAAATAATATCTTTACTTCTACTTATAAAGTTATGTCTTTAACTTTTAACATATTATACTTAATTTATTATATTTAAAATGTTGTTGTATGTAAACCATTATCAGTTTAAAGCTACAACTTTTGAACAGTTTAAACAAAATACTTAAATTGTTAATTTAAATATAACATTACAGTGTCAACTTAAATTTAAATTTCAGTTCCACTTAAAAAAAACAAAAAAAGATTTTGTAAATAGTTAAAAGTGATAAATACAAAACTAAATTGTAATATCAATTTAACTAAAATATTTCCTAAAGATATTTTTATAATCATTAAAAGTTTTCAAATAAGTAGCTTAAAATAACTTACAATAACAATAGTTAAAAATAACTATATACAAATGATTATATTGTTACCTTTAAAATCAAAAAACAATATTTGATGTTTTAAATAATTATAATGATAGAAATTAAAACATTAAGCAAATAAATTTTAAAAACTTTATTAACAATAACAATAACTATAAATAACATTAAACCATATATTATATTTAATTTTATTTTACGTGTATCTCGCGGGTAGAAGTCATTCAAACGATTGAGATAATACAGTTATAATAGATGTATATATTATTATATAATTCAAAATAATCAATATTTTATATCAATTTAGTATACGAATTATTATATCAAATTTAACAACAACATTATTGTTATATTTAAAAAAAACATATATTTGTAAAGACTTCAACTATATACGTATTTCTGCGCAACGCGCGGGTATTCGCCTAGTATAATATAGAGGAGAGAGAGTGTGGAGTTGAATGACCATTGAACGGTGCAATGGAATTGTAATTGAAAATATATGAATTTTTTATGAATTAAAGTGAATGTTTAAATTCTCTTCCCTAGTTGGCAATCTATCCAACTCTCCATGAGTTTAATCAATTTGAGATGGCCTTAGATTGAGTATTTGGGGTCTGTTTTTCTTTGTAAGAGTAGAGTGCAAGTGTTGTTCTTATTTTCTAGTTCCGAATAAAAGAACCATTCAACCAAACAACATAGTCATTTAATTGAGATTTATAAACGGCACCCGTATTCATTTCAAAACCAAAATAAAAAGGAAATCGGAAACAAAAGATATAGATAAACGTTCAACTGATAGAGTAAGAGAAGAAATAGATATTGTTTCAGAAGAGACAACGACTGGAGATAGAGGCGTGGTTCCAACAGAAGCAGAAGGGTCGAGAATAAAAACAGAATTCAAGGGCAAAGTAGCAAATTATAAAAACAAGATAATGGAGGCTTTTGGGGGAAAATCAACAGAAAGAAAAGGTGAGCTATAAAAAACAGAACGCAACAGTCAGTTGTGTAAAGATATTGAGGAATGGAGATGGGATGATGTAGAATCCATGATAAAAAAAGACAAGCACGTGATCACAGAGCCAATCAACAGCGATGGCGACACTGTACTTCATATAATGGTTGCGATCGATATCAATTATTTTGTCAATGAGATGTTATCATTAATCGAAGATGCAAAATCATTACCTGAAATGAAAAATAAAAATGGAAGCACAGCCCTTCACATTGCTGCAATGGTTGGCAATACACGTGCAGCAAAGCTCTTGATTAAAAAAAACAAAGATTTGCTGGAAACACAAGACCTTAAACTTGAAAGACCTTTGCATAAAGCTTTTGAAAATATGCATCTTTCTACCGTTGAATACTTGTTGAAAGCAGCCAATGATGATCGAAAAACTAAGAAAACGTCTACCCCTTTAGATATAAGGAAAGGCATCAACCTTCTAGTTAATGCTGTTTCTGCAAAGAAGTATGGTGAGTAGCGTAGCCAAAATATATCACATAAATACAACGATCATAAGACTTGCTGATTTGAACATACATGCCTGCATGCAGATTTAGCAAAGGAGTTGATCAAAAACTATCCTGAATTTGCTGCAACAGACGATGATGTACTGATGGCAATAGCTAAGACCTTTCCAAGTGGGCTAGACTATTGGGAAACACTTATATATCCAAGTAAGTTTGTGATATCCAGGAGATATGTAGATATTTTAATTTGTTATTCGTTTTTAAGTTTCCCTTTCCTCCTAAGGATGCATGATTAAATATGGTTTTTCTCTTTCAGGTCCAGAGTACAACTATAAGACCATAGTCAGGAGAGCTAAGCTCTTGTTTTATTTATTAGAAGGTTTCTGCAGAATCATATGGGTTACACCTAACAATATTACAAGTATTTTGCGACACGTAGCGTTCCTCATAAAAACCAGTGAGCTTTAGATCAACGATTATATATATATATATATATATATATATATATATATATATATATATATATATATATATATATCGATCGTATTTGTCTAATAAAAATTTGTGCTTTTGCAGTTCCATTAGGGGTACTCTCATGGATCTTAAACTTCATTCTCCTCCTCATAAGGATGGTTTATTTACCATTCTTTATGTTTTATTTTTCCTTGTGGAAGGTTTCAAAAACACTAAGTAAGAGGATATATGAAGTTGATTGAGATATAATTTAGGCAATAAATTTGATATGTTTTAAATAATTATTTTTTAACTTGCCGCAGTTGCACCCATTGGCAATATCGAGAAGAAATACAAGGAACCCCAAGAAGCAGAAGAAGTTCTAAAATTGGTATGTAATGAAATAAACAAGAAGTTGGAGTTCCCTGATGCTCATTCACGCTATTACACCAATCCATTTCTCGAAGCCGCACGTCAAAACGCTTATCAGGTTGTTAATGAGATTTTAAAGAGATCCCCTAAATCAATTCGGTATACAGATAAAAGCGGGTATGACATCATACAGTTATCCGTAATACACCTTTCAGAAAAGATCTACGAGCTTATCTATGAACTTGGGAGGGCTAGGAAATTCTATAAAATGGTGGAAGATTCTTCTAAGAACAATATGTTACACTTGGTGGGAAGATTAGCTCCTTGGCATAAACTAAAGCTTCGCACTGGTGCAGCATTACAACTACAAAGAGTGCTTCAATGGCGTGAGGTACGCTTATCCTTAAATAATGAATTCTAGCTAGCTAGGGAATTATTGTCTTTGCTGTTAATTTATTGGTATATGTAATTAAACGAGTTGAATTAATTCCATAGAAAGTGAAGATGATGGTATCTCCGGCATACCATACTAAAGAAAACATTTTTAATGAGACACCGGATTTGGTATTCACAAACGAACACAAAAACTTGATGTCGGAAGCAGAAACGTGGATGAAAACCGTAGCAGAATCATGCAACATCACTGCAGCGCTGATTACCACAATTGTATTTGCGGCAGCAATTACAGTACCAGGTGGAAACCATCAAGATAATGGCTTCCCCATGTTTGCAGGACAGATTCCCTTCATGATCTTTGGTGTATCGGTTGCAATCTCACTATTTGCATCGAGTACAGCATTACTAATGTTCCAGTCCATCCTCACTGGCCGATTTTCTGAGCAAGATTTTCTTGTAAGTTTGCCGAGACGATTGATTATTGGTCTTTGCACCTTAATGATATCAACAACTACCATGATGGTGGCCTTCAGCGCAACCTTGTTACTTGTATTTTGTCATGGAAAACGTTGGTTGCTTGCTCCGACATGTGCATTAGCTTTCCTCCCGATTGCATCTTTTATCACTGTTCAAATCCCCCTGATGGTAGATCTATTTCGGTCAACATATGGGCAGATCGAGTATATCTTTGAAAAGTATAACCTCGAAAACGGCATTACATTTAATTTGAATGACATCCGCCTGTTTTTTAGCGAGTGATAATAAGTGCACATCTTGGAATCATGTACTTTACTGCAGTTTCTCCAAAGATATGTTGGGTAAAACAATCATAATTTGTTTCCTATGTCATTGTGAGAACAAGAACTACATTCCTGTTTGATATAAATAAGTATTGTCATATATTGAGTTTCCTATGTTATTCTGAGAACACGTATCTTCACATCTTGAATTTGTTGTTGGGTCTATTTTTTTTTTTCTTTTTTCATGTGCTAATGTGCTTCTATATACAAAGGATATTTGAGTATCCATGTGTGAACATTTTTTTTTCATTCAGTATATGTCTAGTTAAACCATTACATTTTACATTCAATATATATCTAATTATATCATTTAAGAAACTGCTAGAAAACTTGTTTTTATTTTTCCTAAGAAGATTTTGAGGAAAAAGTGGATCGAAAATCCAACCCAATATAACACTAGGTGACTTTAGAAGTAGTTTAATTAGTAGTTGCCGTTGGAGGGGAGCCTATCCCTTAATCTCTCTCTCTCATCGTGTGATTTGTTAGCCTTTTTTTTAAGTTTTTTTTAATATTTATTAAATTATATACCTAATAAAAATTATAAAAAATATATACTTGTATGAAATATATTAAAAAAAAAAACAAAAACAAAAGTTAGTTACAGGTAATGAAAGGTGGTCATTTGGTGCATTTTGGTGAGTGAAAGAAGAATAAGAAGAAAGCTGGTCTAACACTAAAAAAATGAACGATCTTTCCATACATACCTTATGCTTTTATATGTTTAAAAAAATATAAATTCCCTTGGGAATTTGTTTGGAAATTACCAACCTTTTTCTCGACAAAAATAGTTCTAATAATAAATATTTACATAATTAATATTACTTTTATCATATAACTATTATTTTCTTCTGTTTAATCTTGTTATATCTATTGTGATTGTATTCATAGTTTTCTTCTTATTTTTTTATTATTGTTCATTATTATTAGTATGTTTATGATTGATTATTATTCTTCTTATAGGTATTATACTTATATTCATTATCAACATTAAAATTATTTGTATTATTATCTTTATTATATTTTTGATTGTGTACATGTACGTATGTATATAGTATATATAACTTGATGAAGTAATTATATTTTATGTATAATAAACTTGTTAAAAATATTGAACGAAAAATGATGTTTAAACCTCAAAGTAGCAAAGACTTAATTTCGTTCGTCAGTATCGACAACATTCTAACATGCATTCTAACATATTAGTGACACATTTGACGTTGGATGGGAATGCATTGAACTTTTTGACCATTTTCTGAGAAAACCTGGCTGAAAGCATATGGTACACCATCGGAACATGTGTGTGTGAATTATATATGTATTAAATGTGTATTTGTATATGTATTAGGGTTGAACATGGTTCTATTTTGGGGTAAAACTAAACGCAAACTGACAAGTAGAGCATTGTAACTAAAAGACCCCATCAGTTTTAAACTTAGCTCTAATAGAACACCAAATGAAAGAAAAAAGAAATTATATCATCCAAAATAAGGCTTTTCTTTGGTTGATCCTTAACAAAAATGACCTTATTTATAAACTACCAAAGATACCACCAAGTAACAAAAAAACGCTCCTCCAAGAACTTCTTTAGCCTACTTCAGAAGTCTAACATTACTAAACCAACCCATCCAATCAACATATGACACAAAAGAATAAGTTTGTAACCCTCACCGGTTAAAATTTTAGCCAACACCGACTTTACAACCAAACACTTAATAACAAATGATTGGTTGATTCCATACCAACATCACAAACATGACACAATATTGAAGGGATATCCAAACCTTTTAGGGACATATTTTCTCTCTTAGGCAAAATATCCATGAACATTTTCCAACAAAAAACTTCCACCTTATTAGGAACTAGTTTGACCCATCTTGTGGTAGTAGAGTTCGTTCTCAGAGTAACCAAATCCACCAAATTTCGAGCAAAAGAGGCAGAGTAAACTCATGAAGAATCTAAATCCTAAAACCAACAATCTGGCACATCATTAAGAGAGCCCATAGTACGAAGCTCAAAGAACAACGAGGTAGGCTAACTCTCGGCTCCATCAATGGGAGAATGTTGAAATGACTCCATCCAAGAAGGATTATGACACTTAGCCGCACAAAAACATCTTTGTTAATATCTAAAAGAAATAAACAAGGGAACTAGTTTTTAAGAAATAATTCCCCCAACCATACATCATACTAAAAGCGAGTATTATCACCATTACCAATAAGCTTTTTACAACTATCAAAAAGATTAATACCTTTATCCAGTAAATAATAAGTAGCCTAAATAATATCAATCCAACCTGATTTCCGATGAGGAAGAATAACACGGTCTAAAAGAGCACTATCACCATGAATCGCTCTCACAAAACGAGCCCATAACAAAATCGGGTTAGATCTAAAATGCCACACCTATTTAAAGAGTAAGGATCTATTTAAAGCAAAGAAACTTCCAACTCCCAAACCACCTACCTACTTCGCAACTAGCACCTTATCCCATGCAATCCAAATAATCTTTTTGTCATCTTTATCTATACCGTGGATAAAAGCACTCCTCAACTTTTCCAACATAGCAAGAACACATGTCGAAACTTTGAAAAACGACATATAGAAAGTAACAATGGAACCTAAACTGATTTAGGCAATGTAAGGAGACCTCCCACCAAAAAAGAGTTATATTTCCATTAAGAGAGTCTTGCAATCATCTTCTGAACCACTAGATCCCAAGAATGAAGTATGGACATGCATGCTCCATTCATAGACCCAAGATACACAAATAGAGTTTTTAAAGCAGCACAACCAACTGACGAGGCCACCAACTCGACTTCATAAAAAGGAACACAAAATCCAAAAATATGAGATTTTTGAACATTAATTTGTAGACCTGACGCCATAATAAACATTGTAAAATAGAAAAAATGTTTGAAAATTTTTGATTTTTCTATTTGCCTATAAAAATTGTCTCATGTGCATAAAAAAGATGGGAAATCCACAATAAAGAATCAACCTTGAGACCCAACTTGCTCCATATCCTAGGAGAACAGAATATGCAAGGACTCCATCACAAAAAAAGGACAAAGGGGATCTCCTTGTCGTAACCCTTTAAAAAATTGAAACTCATTAGGAGGACTACCATTAACCAATACCGAACCTATAGAAGAAAATAAACAACCTCTAATCCAACCCCTCTACTTACAACCAAAACCAAACTTATCAAGCATATCATCTAGATAATCTCATCTCACCAAATCATACACCTTTTCAAAATCAACTATGAATATCATAGCCTTATTCTTCTTTAACTTATACCAAGATAAAATTGCATTCAGAATCAAAGGACCATTTTAAATTTGACGACTGGAAACAAAAGTTTACTGTTCTTCACTAACCAAATCACTAATCACCAAACTTAGACGGTTAGCTAAAATCATGGCTACAAATCTTATATCAACAACCTATTAAAATAATAGGTCAAAAGGCCTTGAAAGATTTAGCATTAGATATTTTCAGAATTAGGACAATAAATAAGGGATTACAACCTCTCGAAAAAATTCAAGAATTAAAAAACTCTTGCACTACAGCTACTACCGAAGACTCCACCAAACTCCAATATCTTCTAAAAAATGTAAAACCATTAGGCCCAGGAGACGTATTCGAGCTACAATCCTAAACTGTCTGTTTAATTTGAACACTCATAAACTCACCTTCCAAAACTGAGAGATGCTCCAAGGAGATGGAAGAAGGAAAGACAAGATTAACCTGAATCATAAATGAAGAAGGTGCAAAAAACGTTTCAGAAAAATGTGAAAAAATATTCTTTTGACCAAGTTAAGGACTTCATTCCGGTCACCATCAGAGAACACACCTCTAATCTTTCTTTGACTTCTCTTTTTATTAATAATACTATTAAAATATCTAGTATTTTCATCACCTTCTATCAACCACTGAACTTTAGCTCGCAGAGATAAATCCATAGCCTCCATCTTTTGCAAATCAAGAAGAGCTTTTGAAAGAGAAGCTCTAGATTGTACCAAATCCTGATTACGCTCCCTTGTATCAATTTTTTATATATAACCTTTGTTATTAAAACTTCATTAAAAACATTACATATAACTTTTAACAAATATGATCATTAATCTCATCAATACAAATATTAGATATTATAAAAATTAATTAAATTAAAAAGTAAATATATAACTATTTAAGATGTGTATAAATAAGTAATAAACATATAACTCACATGCACTACAAGAAATCATGGTTTAGCGGCGACACAATTACCGGCGACATTGGGTTTTAGCGGCGACGCAACCATTTGTCGCCGCTAAAAGCTTGTGTCGCCGCTAATTGTGTCGTTGCTAAAGGCTTTTCACCCGAATCCACGTTATCCCCTTATGATAGACCTCAGTCGTTCGATCGAGTATCTAATCCAACGGTTGGGGCCTCTTATCCGCACAAAATCAATACCGGCGACATTGTATTGCTGCAAAAGGTCAAATATGCCGCTGTTAATTGTGGTATAAAAAAAGGTGCGGTGGCCTTCCCTCCAGATAGTCACTGCTGTTAACATTAGTTTCCGGTAAATCCTTTATGGTTGCCGCTAAAAGCGTCGCCGCTAAAGGCGTGCGCAGATAAAGAAAAAACGATGCATTCTTACCTTTTCCTTCCTGTGTTCGATCAATGATGCATTATGGTTCCTTCTTGCCCCATTTTCTGTGAGTTATCGTCGATTCCAACAAAAAATCTCCCTAACATTGTGAGATTAGGGATCAAAGGTCTTTAGGGCTTCAATTAAACGGGTTTAACTCAGGAAAACAACAAATTACTAGCTCCATCTCGGGTAAAAAGGTAACTTCAAGTTTTTATATCTCTTTGTCTTTCTCTTTTAACATCGATTTCTAGCTCCATTTGATGATTAATTGCAAATTATTTTTCAATTTTAGTGTTTTTGGTCATTTTGTCTTTGGGT